GTAAGCTGTCAAAATTAAAACGGCAGAAAATGTTAGTGTCTGTCTATGCCTACGGAAATTATCCATTCTGAAAATTTGCGTTGGATGCAAACCTATGGCAGCTCTAGTCCACTTCTCTGTGCAGCACTGGGAGGGCAGGTGGAGAGAAGAGGATAGCACTGAAGTGTGGAAAAGGCTATGTCCCTCTGTAGTGGCATGGACTAGCACGTAGCAAGTCTTCTGCTGCACAGGGCTTTGTCTTCCATGAGGGCATTTTTTCATGTGCTCTTCCCAGTCATGGGCCATGGAGTGTCTGTGCTGGAGAAACCTCTGAGCCAAGGGGCCAAGGTGAGATCAACTCCCTTGTAAATGGGGATTTTTTTTTTTTAAATATAGCCGGTCAATTAGGAGACAGGTTGAACTCTTAGGAGAATAGCAACAATGAGTGTGCAGCATGGGCTCAGAATTTCCATGAATAAAGTTGGGATGCACACCCCACTTGTCATAGAACTTGATAAAAATATAACTTAGAGAGACACAAAACTAACAAAACAGAGGCACCAAATCATTTCTGAGAATCTGTGCCAGAGGGTCCTGATTGAAAATCTTGTTTTTTTTCTTACCCTGGAGTTGTAACCCCATTTCAACCTACCGCCCATTCTTTCCAGACAGGCAATCTCAGCCTTCTCTACAGTGTCCCCCAAACCCCCTTTTCCTGTTTACTTGTTATGGCCAGTTTCTGTCATAGCTTCTCAATTCTGGCTCTGAGATCCAGCCATGTTTCACCTTACAACCAATACTTGGTTGAAAACCTTGTTGTTTCTGCTACTTAATATCCACCAAGAAAAGATTTTTTTTTGAGGTATTACCAACTTCACTAACACCCCCCCCCCACCATATGCTACTGTATGTCAAGAACTGTTCAAAGAGAGACTGAGCCTCACACTAACACTATGAGATAAGCATTTTTTTTTTAAAATTACTGTTTTTATAGAGAAGGAATGTGGAGAACAGAGAGGTTAGTACCTTGCTCTGGGCACATAATCATAAGAAAAAGGGCTGGGATTTATACTCCAGTGGTTTGCCACCATAATCTATCCCTGAATAACTAAGGAATATTGCTTTAATTTAACCCATCATCACCATGATGTATTGGAGGATGTGTTTGAACTCTGACTCTCCTGCCTACACTTCCCAAATGCTGGGATTACAGGTACCCCCTTTTTGTGGTGTTAGGGGTGGAAGTCAAGGTTTTGTATATGCTAGACAAGCACTCTACCTACTGAGCTATATATATCCCCACTCCCAATTTAACCCATTATTATTTTTATTGTTATTGCTCTATTTTTTTTCTGACCAGGCAATTCAATTACTTGGTTCAAAATGCAAAACATGCAGAAGGGAACACATAAAGTCTCTGGAGGGTAACTGACACAGCTAATTTCTCCAGCAGCATCCCAAGAAAAGGCTTGTATGCTGATCCCTCTATTTTCCCATCAGCATCAGTCAGTGTACCGTTGTATCTCACGATCTAGGATACACTTTGGCACAGTGCCTTTTCACTTAACAACACATACAGAGGATCGTTCCAAATCGGAATAGAAGTACTTTCTCTTTAAAGACTGCAGATGGTCTATATTGGGCACAAGCAGTACCCCTCCCCCGTGCTCCACAAAGGGCTAGACAGTAAATATTTCAGGCTTTGGGGTCCATATGGTCCATGTTCCATATGCTCCTGCTTCCTTTTTTTACAAAAACATTTTGAAAACGTACAAACCACTCTCGCCCCTTGGGTCATATAGGCACAGGCAACAAGCCAAATTGGCCCATGGGCCCCAACACACTGATCCCTAAGCCTCTGTGTTCTTGACTCATATTTCTCAGTCTGGTCTTTTTCTATTATGCTGTCCCCCTTATTTTTGTGGTACCAGAGGTGGAGACAGGACCTTATGCGTGCTAGGCAAGTGCTCTACCACCAACCTACATCTCCAGCCACCTGGTCCTTTCTTGAACGGGATGAGCTATCTTCTTGCAAAACATCCAACAGCTGCCATTGGTTCCTAAATCCTTCAAGGTTCTTCACTCTCTAGAGCTGGACAGAACATACAGCATGTTTCATAATGCACATTTATCTCCTCCTCTGGGTCTACTGCACTGGTTCAAGTGCCATCAACTTTTCCCCTCTATCAAACCTTCAGGGACCTCTCTGCCTCACTATGGCTTTAAATATAGTCTGGATGCAGCCTCAGGAGCATTCTGGTAGTGCCCATATATCTGGGATGTCCAGTGGTTTGTTGCTGCTCCAAAAGAATCAACACCCCACCGGGCGTTGGTGTCGCATGCCTTTAATCCCAGCACTCAGGAGGCAGAGGCAGGGGGGTCTCTGTGAGTTTGAGGGCAGCCTGGTCTCCAGAGCGAGTGCCAGGACAGGCGCCAAAGCTACACAGAGAAACCCTGTCTCGAAAAACCAAAAACCAACCAACCAACCAACCAACCAAACAAACAAACAAAAAACCCCACAAAAGAACCAACATCCCATTATCTAAAGTCTAGCCACCCTGCTGTTGTCCCCTTCTTTTGGCTCCCTCTGCCATCACAGGAATGCTGTCTCCAAACAAGCCACGCTCATTTTCGCCTCATAGTGCTGTACCTTTGAAGGATCCTTCCATAGGTTCACACTCAGTTTGAATGACACCTCCTTGGTGAGGCTTTCCTGAGGCTCTGCACTTCCCTGTGCCCTCATCCTCCTTTGCCATCGGTCTCAGCTCTGCTGGGACACTGTCTGACCCAGATGTACAATGAGTGCCTTCCGGTCTGATGGATGGCTAACAACCTCAAGCTAGTTTACACTTCCTGGGGTGTGCACTTCTTCTCAGCTTGGTTTACAGCCTCCAGTTCTACCATCTTGTTCAGCAATCATTAAACATAAGTTTTTGGACACCTGCACAGGTTGTCATTTCATTTCTTTCTTCTCGGTGTTACAAATTCCTACCATCCATCAATGCCCAGCTAAAATGGTATGTGTTCTACAGTTTTCATATCTTCCCCAGATAAAATCAATTTCTTTCTTTCTTTCTTTTTTTTTTTTGGCAGGCTCCCAGAGCACTCCACTGTGCATAGAGACCTCCATGATCACTCTGGGCCATTATTAATTACCCAAACGTTTGTTGGCTGACTTATTTATATCCTGAGTATACATAGACAGCCCCTTTCCATTTTTACCTGGAAGGAATCCTTAAAGGAAGGGGTGAATGCTGTTTAAGCAGCCAGTTTGGGCATATGATTTAAGTGGAGCATGGGGCTCTGTACCAAAGGCTCCTTTAGCTTTCACAATAGCACCAATGACGTAGTGTTTTCAGGATCTGGGCTTTAAGTAGGAGGAGGAGGGAGGGAGTGCCCAGTCAGATTGGCCACTTGCCCTGTGGCTCTGGAATGCATCAGCAGGTCACACTGTAGTCAGCTGTGGTGATGACTTTTTGATAGCTCGACTGCTCTCCAGTCAAATTAGCGCAAGTAAGCACACACATCTCTGCATCTCCCTGCACTGAGACCTGGGGCAGCTCTGTGGACAGAGGTCAGCAAGTCTCTTGCTCCCATGCAGCAAGGTCCTCCCTAAAAGGGACACAGATGTCCCTTGGCCAGCCAGATGGAGTGGCATGGTGATGAGGTGTCCCTCTGCACACCTGTGACTGCGCCAGACCCAAGGGCAGCCAGATGTCCTTGGGGCTTGCCTCCTGCCACCACATGCTGCTTATCCATGTGGACATAAGCTGCTCTGCCAGATCACTGCTGAGCTGACGTGGTGGCAGCCCAGGGCTCTGGGCAGCAGGGTGAGAAGGCAGAGGACACAAGGACAGACAGCTGAGCTCTCTTCAGATAAATGGAGAGACTCTCCTTCTAAATTGCTCCTAGAGATCGGGGCAACAGGTGAGAGGCAACGTGTTTTCCCCAGAGGGCAGAGCGTTTTCTGATATAAAGGAAAGAGGTACCAGACTACACTGGCTGGAGGCTCTGTTCTCTTTGTGGGGACTGTACAACAGCTCACTGAGAAAATTTTGGGACAAGACTGGCCTGCAAACTTTAGGGTGATGCTATCCGAAGTATGGTGCTTTGGCCAGAAGCACTGTCATCACCGGGAAGCCCAGTCCACTCCACACTCTGGGCCTGAGTCCAGCACTCAAAAGTCAGAATCTACATTTATCATGGCTGGTCTTCCCTATCTGCTCTGAGAACCTGGAAGTGCCTTTCAGTCTGTGCAGCTTTGATGGAGGCAACTTGGTTAGATGCAAAGCTGGGGCCCCATGCTGTAAGATTCTGATTTATTTGATCAGGACAAGCCCAAATATCTTTTTCCACTGTTTGAGCAACTGTGGCATTGCTCACAGGCAGTGCTCGTGGCGGAAGGAGCCCAAGCACTGCATGGAGACATGCCTGAGATGGAGTCTCAGCTCACTCTTCATGACTAGGTAACCCAGTTAATCACTTCACCTCACCCAGCTTGGCTTCCTCAGCTGCACGATGCAGGCACCAATGCCTGTACCTTCAGCTGGTAAGTGTCAGGATGGGCATTCTTTAAGCATCCAGCACCACATATGGGCATGTAGTAGATGTTTGACAAATGGTAGATACTAGTCATTACTTCCAGGAGGCACAGTTCATTGGTTGTGGTTGAACAGTGGGTGGGGCCAAAGAGTATTAATTTCAACCACTGAGGATCTCATGGAGCTGTGATGACAATGCGTTTTCTGCTATTTATCACTGGCTTTACAGACATAGCCATCAAGCTTTCTCATACATTAGCTCATGCCTTTTCATCCCCAGACGCTGATACAGCTGCCCTTTCCTTTGCCCTGAGAAAACAATGGCTTACATAGTTTACATATTCATTCAACGGACACAGAGTTTCCTTCATGTGAGGCCCTGCGAAAGACACATATGCACAAATCAGTTCCTCCTTGGTGTCCACACATCTGGGAGCTGGGCCACCGAGGAACCTGTACTGTCATGCTCAGGCACCGTACCGGGGCATCTGTAGCTTCAATGCTGTGGGAGAGGTTTCCATTCTGCACAGGTTCCGAAGCCTCACTTGATGGTGTCATTTCGACCTCTGTGCTCGTGCTGTTGGGGAGTTCGATTTTTTCTGTGGCATAATTTAAGCACAAAGAGAACAATCAGAATCAATGGGCAAAAGGGCCATGTTGGAAAGAATGTTCTAAAACATTGATCAGGTGAGGAGAAGGCATCTGAGACCTGAGCTGGTGTTGGACACTGGTAAAGTGTTTTCACCATTCGCCCTGTGCGGCCCCGTGTTCTGGTTTCCACCACACATGACATCACTGAAGGCCCTATCAGCTGCCTTATGCAAGGACACAGATACATATCTTTGACATTTAGATAGAGACTGAGATAGCTGCAACAGCACACTCTCACCCCACAAGGGATACTACGCTGTGCTCTGTCATCATCAGCCTGCCATCTTCGTCAGGCCCCTTTTCTGGGCTGGGACACCTCCTCTATGAAGTGAATGGTTCCTTGTGGCTGATGGCCAGGCAGGCACTGCTTTCAGTTCTAATACTTTCAGTCTTCATGCTACAAAACTGCCCCTGCCAGGAGGGGAGAGGGGGGAAGGAGGATTTGACCACCTGTCTCTTTTTACATCCTGAGAACACTCACAGCACATTCTGCACTGGCTGTCTTGTTCCAAGAAAAGCAAGGGGGAGCTGAGACAAGGAATAAGGACCAAGTCTGTAACACTTCTCAGACACAGAGAGGGGAGGGATAGAAGGAAGGATGGGGAGAGAGAGAGAGAGAGAGAGAGAGGGAGAGAGGGAGAGAGGGAGAGAGAGAGAAAGAGGGAGAGGGAGAGAGGGAGAGAGAGAACCCATAGATCAGCAAGTGCAGTCGTGAGAGAACAGAAGAGGCTCAAGGGTGCTGGTTAGGCCCTGAGACTCCGTAACACTAGGAACCAGATGGGCCTGTTTTTCCAGTCTCCCTCTACAGCTTATGCTTCATGACTCTCAGCAGAGGCCTCAACCTCTGTGGCATTTGGATTCCTCACCAGTCGAATTTCAGTAGTGGCTGCTAACAGTGCCACTACTTCCATCATTGCTATTGCTGCTACCACTGCCTCCTCTGGTAAGTGCATGTAAAGCACTCAGAACAGAGCCTAGGCAGAGCCAACAAGCCAGGCATGAATGATCTGATTCTCTCTCACTGCAATTGCCTTTTGCAAAATATTTCTTCTAGGGCTAAGAGAAGCACCTCCAGGTGACCAGTGTTCAGGCCCCATTAAGTTCAACTGGAACTTAAGTGAGCGTGAAATAGAAAGTCTTCCATTGAGACTGGAGAGATGGCTCAGCAGTCAAGAGCACTTATTACTCTTCCAGAGATCTGAGTTCAGTTCCCTGCATCTATGTTGGGTGGATCACAACAGCCATTCATTACAGTTCTAAGTGGTCCACCACTCTGCTCTGGCCTCCATGGGCACCGGTGTCTATGTGGGGCACATGTAGACACATAAAAATGAACATAAATTTTTTAAATAAAGAAAAAGAAAGGCACTGGCAACAACTCTGCTCAGTGTCAGGAGGCATTGCCTGTATGGTGCTGAGTTAGGAGTCAGGGTTGCTGGACAGCAGTCTGCTCAGCTGCACCAGATGTAAGCAAACATAGGATGCTCATAGGAGAACAGAAGGGTTTTTTGCCCCTTCCAGTAATTTCAGAAGAACCAAATATTTCTGTCATCAGTGCACACGAAAATAGAGAGTTATGTGGGGCGGAGCATAGTGGCACATGCCTAAAATCTCAGTACTTGGTAGGTAGATGTAGGATGATTGCCACAAGTTCAAGAGTTCAAGGCCAGCCTGGTTTAGGTAGTGAGACTCTATTACCCGCCCCCAACAAAAAGAACTTCATAAAAATGTTTGGCTCGAAGCAGTCAAATAATTGAAGTACTAGGGAAATGCTCATGAATTCAATTGTGGTGTCCTGAGGCACAAATGATGACATGGAAAGTGTAGGAATTTGGGTTTCCCTGATCCACCCATGATTCATAGTGTCGGTACTGTGGGATACTCTTTGCTTGTAGCCATGCTGAGTTATCTCAGTATGTTTCATTCAGTGATTTAAGCTAAAGCATACTAGTTTTGTGGGGGACATGAAAGACCTCATACAGGCCCAGTAGCAGATTGCTAAGGCCAGGCTCGATCCCAGAATCATAGGATCCAAAGATGTTCCAGGATAGACTCAGACAAATAAGAACCTATGTCACAGTCACAGCCTCTGACTTGAGTGTGCTTTTAAACCACATTCTTTATTGTCACAGAAAATATGAAAATAAATCCTGGGGTTCCTTTGGAAGGCATAGATTTTCCATACACATCCTGTTTGGTTACCACATCCTTCACTGGCCCCATCAGCAGTGGGGTTCCTTGGAGTTGTATGTCACGGATGATTAAATCTAAGCCTCCAGTCACCGGTCTGCAAAAGGAGGTCTGGGAATGAACCCAGCCACATAAATCTTCTGTTCCAAGCTACTTCATCCCACAAAAGTAAAACCAGCAAGCAGAGTAGAAAAAGTAGCCTTTGTAATTGAACCTAGAATGCAGATGCAGAGCTTAACCAGGCAATAACTTTCCCCGGTGACCTTACAACACAAAACCAACACTCTGCTCTGTCTAAAAAAATGTGTTCAGGTTCAGGTGGCAGAGGGGATCAGGCGAAAACCTGCAATTCATAATGCAATCCTATCCTAGTCAACATTTGAACTGATTTGGGTCCACTTTCTCCAAAGACATTTAGTTGACTCTTGTCTGTTCCCTGGCTGAAAATTTTGCCTGGGCTAGAATTCAGGATGGTAGGAGAGACAGGAAGTTGCCTATGGAGTATTTTGAGGGCAAAACTGTTGAGATTTGTCTGTAGATAATTTTAGTCACTTGGGCAATAGCTTCATTTACAGCATGGATCCAGATTAGGCTAAATTTAGTCTGAATTTAGAATTGAGAGCTATATTATAGTTACAGACAGGAGAAAGGGAACATGATGCCCCAAGTTAAAATAAGATGCCTGAATGTCACAATCTGGTCACACAGGAGTTCTAGAAAAGTCAGCCAAGACAGACCTAAGCTGATTTTGCCTAACTTTATTTATTTATTTTTTACCTGTGTATTTGTGTGTGGTGTGAGCACATGTGTACATGTGTTCATGCATGTGTGTGTGGTTGTACACTGTGCAGATGTGTACGGAGACCAGAGGTTGATATTCACTTTATTTACTGAGGCTGGGTTTCTTGGGGAACCCAGAGTTTGCTAATTTGTCTAGTATAGCTATCTATCTTGTCCTGGGGAATCTTCTGGCTCCTAAATGTTGGGATTGGGTGGGGCCACCACTCCTATCCAGCATTTATGTGAGTGCTGCCAATTTAGGTCCTCACACTTGGGCAGCAAGCACTGTATCTGCTGCTTCATCTCCCCAGACCCCATATTGTTGAATTTTTGAGAAAGAGAAGACAGTATGGTCTCAAAAGGACCCTGCTGGGGTAAGTGAGTGGTAATTTGGTGGTGGGGGTGCAGCAAGCAGTATCATAGAAACACAGTTTCATCACCAGTTAAGAGTACAGAAGCAGGCCCCCCATCGCTGGCTAAACATGACTTGGGTGTGTCTCTCTTTTTTTGTGGCTTTCCGAGAAACCAAGTGCCTGTCACCTCTTGAACAGAATGCCTGGTGATTTGGTTAGAATTACTGCTGCCCATGGACTTCCCTTAGCTTTATTGGTGACATACATGCACATTCCTGCCCTGTCTCAGCGAGAGAAGAAGAACTCATTTCATTGTTTAAGAAGGGCCTGGGCTGGCACTGGGTTGGGGTGCCCACACTGGGTTCTGTCTTTCTGTATCACACCTGCCAGCTTACCCATGGAAATCTCTGTACCCGCCCCCTGCTTACCCACCATGGAAGGACAAGGGATGGATATCCCTTACTCACCCACATGATTGGCAGCCCCGTTCTGCCTCTCATTCTCATCCACTTGGCATTTCTTCTTGGCAATCTTGTGGAGAATTGAAGCTTTTTCTCTGAATCTCCCTGAAGCAAGAGAAAGTGTCAGGAGAGAGACAGAGTGAGGGGGAAGGATTGCCAGAGCAGGGCTGTGGCCTCTCCACTTAGGTTGCATTACAACAGTGACCACACACTCCATCCGACCCAAATGTCTTTCAACCTGTATGGAGGAGGGCACTTTCTTACCTGGGTGGACACTTCAGTTCAATTCTCAGAGAGCGGCAAGCTGCTGAACCGTAGGGGAGAGGTGGGACTTAGACCTCCTTCTCCCCTCCCAGGTACTCATAAATGCATGAACACATCAAGCATCCCCCCCTCACGACACCCCCACTGCTGAGATGCCCAAGAGGCTGAAGACCCACAGCTGCTTTGGAATTAGATGCTCATCTCAGATTTGCTTTGGGCAACGGCTGGGAAGGAAAGCCAAGCCCAGCAATCTTTTGACTTGACTTTGGTTTTCAAGCATTTGTCATTATTGCAGCTTCCAAAGGAGTCAGGGACAGACACCACAGCTCTCCAGATAAGCCGAGTCAGCTGCAATTAAAGCATCAAGGCGGCGACTGATTCCATTTGGGGATTTAGGGCAAAGAATGATCAACTGAGCATGTTGGTGATGAGACACTTTGGGAAAGGTGCTGGACAAAAAACACACCATGCTCAAAGCAATCACTGTAAACAGCTGTGCCAGAAGTGTAGCGCCTTGTTTCTCCTTCATTATTGACGTAATTAATGGGTAAATGCATGCGATAAGCACACAAAATAGGCATGCAAAGTGTAGCCATTAGGGACACAAAGCACATCTCTCTTTTAATCTTTGATTTTCTTCCTTGGGAACATTCAAAGGTACAAAAGATTCTCATTTTAAACTGATTACTGCCTAAATTCCAGCATGATGAGTTCCTCAAAATATCCTTAGCCCCACAATTTTCTACTAGACTTTCCCTTTTTCTTTTCTTTTGTTGGCTGTGTTACCTAACAGCATATTATCGGGGGATCTTATTCTACTTTTCAAGTTAGAAGCAAATCATATGAAAATATTTCTCTTGGAGAGGGCGTCCTCCAAGGCTTGGCATGGCAGGCGAGCACCCAGGCCTCTCCCTTTGCCATGTATTGGAATCATGATGGGTTCGAATGACAACTTCTATGATAGGCTCAGAGTGATGAGCCTAGGTGAAGGTGAAACAGAATGGGGTCATTTCTGCTCACAGCTTCATTAGCTACTAACCTAAAATCTCCTTTTTCAAAAACTGTTTTGAGCAACACTATAAACTCATGAATTTAAATTTATTTTGTTTCAATCCATTGCATTTTTAAAACATTGTTTTTAAATTGTGGAGGGCATATACCTGCTATGGTATACATGTGATCAGAGGACAACTCATGGGAGTTAGTTCTCTCTTTCTACCATGCGGGGCCCGGAGATAGTAGTCAGGATGTCAGGCTTGGTGGCCAGCACTTTTACCCATGAAGCTGTCTTGCCATCTTTTATCTACCTTTGTTATACAAAGGTGTCAGTCTAGGCAATGAGTGTACTGCACAATTGTTCTCTCAAAGAGAGAACATTGTCAGGGAGACAATGAGAAACAGGTTAGAATATGGCTTGGACTGTGGGACAGCTAATTTTGATGGTCAACTAGACTGGGTAAGTGGTATGGAGGTTACTGGTCTCTCCACCACCCACTGTGTCTGTGAGTGGATTTTCAGAGAGAACAGATTGTGATGACCCCGGCCTCATCTGTGGCTTACTCCATTGATGGTAGGCCAGTGGAGGTGGTGGCACTGTGGCAGGCAAGATGTCATTGGAGGAAGACATGCCTTTGCGGGGAATAGCTAGAAAGCCTGCTACTTCTCTTTGTTTCCTGGCACTATGAAGTGAGCAGCCTTTGCCACAGGCTTCCACTGTCATGATGCTCTGCTTCCGCTTGGTCCCAAGCAAAACAACCAGATGATGAGGTATGGAGCCAGAATAAATCATTGCCACTGTGATGGAGAACTGATTAACTCAGACCACAAGGAATGGGAAGGATGAAGCATTGGGCAGGTGCTCATTCTGGAAGGTGGTGAACTTGTTTCTGTTTAATCTACATGGCAAACTGTGGAAAGAAAAGGGGGAAGGAAAGACACTCTGGGGACTAGGAAAAGGGGTGGTGGTGGTAAAAGGGAGCATGAAAGGAAGGGAAAAGAAAAAAAGAAGAATATGAAGGAGGCAGGTATGGGTGTGACTGCCTGGTGATGGCCCAGCACTCGGCTGCCGAGCATGTCCTGGCTGCCAATCACTTCCTTCCTGGCTGTTGACTGGAACCTTCTCTGAATCCTAAGCAGATGGGGAAGGTGCTCTTTTGGACCCTGCAACTTTAAGCCTAAAGGGCTTACTCTGCATGAAGACAAGCTCAAGAAGTTCCTTAATCCTGTGTTTTGTGCCCAGGGGAGGCAAAAGGAGGTTCTGTAATTTCATTGGGAGTTTCTGCTGACAAAAATCTTTCTGCTACGTTGTGTGTGGGATCCACTTTTGAGCTTAGCTCATGGTGTGGGTCTATGAAATAAACAGATCAAACACACTTTAAAACTTCGTACAACACAGTGACAAAGCAGACAAGGGTGTGGAAAAAAGCAAGTCTGTGTAGGCTAACCTAGCCCAAATCATTCCCTCAAGTCACGAATCACAGTTGAGAAGAGGCACCTGAAAGCAGTTCTCATGGATTGTCCATGCTCACAGCTTATATATGTGCCAGACAGAAATGATTTAAAAAATGGACCGCCAAAGTAGTCCAGTTACAGCCACTTGCTTTTCTTTGAGCATCTTTCAACACTGAGTTGGCCATACCTGGTGTGATTTTTCTCAAATTCTGCAAGAACTTTGGCAGAGAGAGCGGGAAACGATGGTGTGGCTGGGGTGTTGCTCATCTTAATCATGTGTGTCACTTGTGTGTCACTATTTTCCCGGCGGCAGTGGGTCTCCTAGTTTTCTGTGCTATTAAAAGAAAAGCCTGCTCTGTTGCCTTTTTCTCTTGGGGTTTAGTCGGGTGCGCAACCCAAAAGAGCTGCCAAGGAAGGCACGGAATTCTTCAGTTTCTTTCCTTCACATTGGTCCCCTGTTCTGACCTGCTGACTATCCTCATTCGGAATGCTGCTGATGACACCCCTGTCTAAAGGATTTTCTCTAGAAGCTTAGTTTTTTAGCAAGGTCCACCTTCAGCACTCTGCACTCACAGAGCCCGCTAAGGTAAGGTATGCTTGGTTCAGTGCCTTGGATTGGCACTCGAGTTCCAGGGAATCCTCTAAAAATCACCTCAAGTGTTAGGTCCACATTTAGGTGGGGGCACAGAGGGATGGGCGTAAGAAGCATGCGGCTTTGTGTCTGGCAAGAAGGAATCGAGACACCTTTGAATACTTTTCAAGGTGAACCACAGAGTGATTTTTTTTTTAAAGCCTGATTCAAAGCAGCCTTAAAAATAGCCCTCGCTGTGGTGCAAACCCTGAAGGTGTTGTCTTTTTATATAGCTACAGATATTTGTATACTTAGAAGTCTCGGAAATAGCAAACTGGGCTGGCATCGTGAGGCACCTACGTCAAACCTGGTACACAATTTTAGTATAGTTTAGTTTGATCTGAGATGTCAAGAGTACCAGCTGAGTGTCCTCACAGGAGGGTGTGTGAGGGGGTGGTCAGGGAGCTTGGAAGGAAAAGAAAGATGGGAGCTGAGGGCTGCTGGGGAATGAGAACAAATCGAGAAACACAGCCACCTAGATCCTTGGCTGGATCTCTTCAAGCTAAAACTGAATTCCCATGTCCCGCTGTGAAACAACCTAGAGGTCTGTTCACTCAAGGGCTATAGACTTGGCTTCTGTCCTGCTGTTAATTAGTTAAAACAACCCCTTGGCAGTCCTTCACATTTCCCCCACCAAGCCTGTAACAGGCAAGTGTCAAAAGGGACCCTTTGGGCTTGTGATCAGATCCAGACTGCAGCCTGAGCCTCAGCAATACAGGGGGAAAAAGGCACAAAAGAGACAGATGTAAGGGGAGCCAGTCACTTAGAGAAAAGAAAAATGAGCGAGGCGGGTAGGGGAGAGAAAACTTGAAAACAACTCTTTTCAAGTCTATTTCTGTGTTTCCAATTCTGCCTTTCCTGTCTCTTTCTTTGAAGTTCAGGGCTTGGCAGGTAGCTTCGAAAGCCAAAGGGCACCTGAGCTCCTGTCCCCCACGCTCATCTATGGCTTCTTTGTCTTTCCTTGTGAAAGCTCTGACTGGAATCAGGCAGACAGGCCCTCCTCATTCTGACAAGGCTTTGACAGAACTGAGGTGGTGCCACCGGTTGTCCCAAGAGCCTCTCTCTTACAGAAAATCGGAGTTTTTCTATTTTCACATTATTTCAGCCTACTTCTCCTTCCAGCCCTCACTTCCTGAGTCCCACCAAGCCACTCTACAGGACTAATTCAGCCAGCTGGTGTGTCCCTCCTCCCCTTCTTCTCCATCATTCTAGCATCCTCAAGGATAGACACATTGGGTCGTATTAATCCTTCCTTGGTTGAAAGGTCTGCAGTGGATCTCCAGAATACTCCAGGTCAGAGTGAGTATTCAGGTCCTTACAGTTGCCTGCAGGATTCTCTCTAATACCTGACCACCCAGACCTTGTCCCACCCCCTTCTTGCTCTGCTCCATCCAGGCTAGCCCCTTGTCCCCACTGTCCTTGCTCTGCTCTGTCCAGGCTAGCTCCTTCCCCGTTTCTTGAGAACACTGTGCACTCTTTACCTTTGGGTCATGACACTAGCTGACCTGCTCCTGTGCAAAACCCCCTGTCCCTCCCCTCTCCCAAACCAGAGGTTCACCGTTTTGCCTTTTTATAGTATCCGTTCAAATGTCACTGTCTCATCCTGGCCTCCCAGAGCAAACCTTCTGTATCATTTCCTATCCCAGCTTACTTCCTCAGAAGCAGATATTCCCATTATTGTTATTACTGATGTTTACATATTGCTTTCTACGGGTGGAAAAGCTGGGTGAGGGCAGAGTCTTTTATCATTGTTCCCTCT